TCCGCTTCCCAGGAGTGATCTCTTGGGTTCTCAGTTGAAACTGTTAGTAGGATATGTGGGATCTTGTTAACACCTTTCTTACAGGACTCATCTAAGCAATCAGGATTTTGAGGAGTAGACATCAGCAGTAGAGTGGCAGACTGGAATACAGATCCTGAATGATGTCTGAGGAGCATTTGTGCCCAGCAGTGCAGAGCAGGTGGAGCCAGCAGTGCAGCTCTCTGCTGCGGAAAGCAGTGCAGTACAAGAGGGGATGCAGTGCACGTAGCAGATCTCATAGCACATGGGAGAAGCAGAGGAAGAAAAACACAGCCACAAGGAAGAGATCACTTGATAGAGCGCAGAAATATTTTTTTTCACAGGTTCATGTAAATAACTGTAATGTTTTTCATTATTTCCAATATCTGGACTCACTGAACGGATGGGACTTTGAAACCATGTCCTTGTCACCTCAGAGCACAGTGCAGAGTGGTCTTTAGAGCTCTTTCAGACAGCGTGCTGTTGGAGAAAACTGCTTGGAGGGAAATGGGAAGGACTTTGGGTAATTTATGTGGGTAACAAGAAAATGTAGTGTGCTAACAAGGTTTGTGGTTGGTGTTTTTTTAATGGAAAGTCACTCTCTAGGACAGAGATCAGTGTCAGGCAGGTGGGGCTGGCAAGGCTGCAGCACTAAGCTGCTGCTCCTGGCTTTCCCTTGTTTTATCTGCAGTTTCTCAGACGTGCCACAATGGATGGTCAGTGGATTACGCTTATTTCTTATCTGACCATCTGTAGCAAATTTCTGTATTACTTTTATTTCATTTATTTTCTAAACCAAAAACTGATATGCCTTGAGGGAGGAAGTTGCAGTTTTGCTGGTGTCTGTGCATTGCATTCATAGATAGGTTCTTAATGGCTTGTAATGGCAAACCAGGGAACTGTCACCGTGGGAGGTTCCAGTGTCAGAGCATTAACAGGTTCCAGACCTGGCACTCAGGACTCTCAAAGCCATACACATTGGTAAAAATAAGTGTATCTTAGAGTACATTACTGGTTATGGTCATATCAGTGACTCCCTGAAAACGAATTGCTTTTGCAACCTGAAAGAGGTATATTCTTTGTCCTTTAGTTATTGCATGACTTCAGGAACTGAAGAGTATCATAAGCAGAAGTTGATGTTACATATGTAACTGGCATATGCTATTGTTTTCTGGCTTAATAGTTTTTTGTGTTGTTTTTTTTTTTTTTTCTATTTTTCTGCCTTTTCTCCTGCTGCTTTATTTTGGTTTTGGAGGTTGTTTTGAATTAGTTGCAATTTACCTTTGTTCAGGCAGTGTGCAATGATTGCTTAAACGTGTCAGATCTTGTCTCTGCTGAGAAAAAAGTTAACGTTATGATTCCTGTGGGTAGATCATCAACATGACTGACACTGTTTATTGTACTTCTGTTTTTAGAATAATATATAAATGCTCTATGTGTGACACTGTGTTTACTCTACAACCTTTGCTCTATCGCCACTTTGATCAGCACATTGAAAACCAGAAGGTGTCTGTTTTCAAGTGTCCAGACTGTTCTCTTCTGTATGCACAGAAACAGCTTATGATGGATCATATCAAGGTGTGTAGGCATCTCTTGTTTTATTCTTAGATACTATTTGTCATGCAGTATATCATTTGGGAAAATACTGTTGAAAGGCTCACAATTCCAAGAAGGCTTCTAGAAGAAATCTTAGTGGTTCTCAAAGAGTAATCTGTGAGTAACAATCACAAATGCTAAAATCGTACATTTTGTATAACCTTCAGCAGCTGCCCTGTACCCACTTACTGAGTTTTTCAGTATGGATGTTGATTTTGATACAGCAGGAATATCTCAGCGTATTGCATTCAGCACATCATCAAAATTATTATGGGGTCATTGAGGTAAGCTGGTCCCGTCCTAGCAATTGTTGAGCCTTGTTTAGAGTACTGAAGAATTATTCCAGTTGCTAGGAGCTGAGAATGCTGAGGACGTGACCAAATCAAGTCTGCGATGTTCAGAACTTGCTAATGGGAGCCAGTGTGTTCCTTGAATAGATATAGAATGTGTGTGTGCATGCTTGCACACACACTCATAGACACACATGAACACTGTCAGGAAAGGGAAAGAAACCTGAGGTGGATTTTCTCATCAGTATCCCTATAACTGCATGAATGAATTTATTCGAGAAGATTTACTGTCATCCTTCAAATCATGTTACTGAGAATCAGCAGTCCCCTGACTCTAACCTGTTAGCTGTACATTTTAAATACTGGCTGTGCTGAAATTTCTTACAGCTCATTAACAGGATCTGGTGCCTGGTAACTGCTGAAATTTTACTATTTAAATAGTAAAAATTGTAGTAGTGAAAAGTAAAACATCTTTCTTGTCTACTGAAGCTATTCACTTTGTGTTTTAGCCTCAACTACGTTACCTTTAATCCCCAGAAACACTGAAGTTGTGAAGAAAACAAGATGAGACGTCTTGGAGAGACAGTTGTCCTTAAAGCCAGTTTTAAACTTGAGTTGGAGATAGGGAAGGGCTGAGCCAAGGTTCAGAAGCGCATTGACAGTATGTTTAATTTGATTCTGAACCAGTTTGTGTTTGCTGTAAGAACTGCCTTTGACCTGTGCCCGAAAAGTACCATTACATCTGCACATACCTCCTTCTAAACCACTATGTTAGTGCATGATCTGACCATAGTTAGAGCCAGGAGCTGTTCTTATGGGCTGGGGCTGCTCAGCACCTCACTATAAAGTTACTCTTTTGCTTTGAATTTGGGTGCTTACAACCCTTCTGGCTATAGTTTTAAATGCCAGAATTTGTACTGATGAACATGTTTCACTATAAATGATCCTGACCTTTTTGAGAACAAGTCTAGAATATTAGAACATAGGCATTCAGTGACAGTATTACTGCTTTTATTCAGAGTCGCTCGTGCTTTCACATTTAGGAGGTCTGTATAGTAGTAGGAACAGCAGGCAGGAAGGGTAAGTTGGACTTAAGGAGGAAAGAAAAAGAAAGAAACAGTACAGATAAAAGCAGAAAAGAACACATAAGGGAAGACTACTGGAGGGGGGCAGAGCTCAGCCCAGCTGCGTTTGGTGTGGCTAGACATAAACCAGTAAGGCAGAGACCGTGTGCATGAAAATAGAAGGGAAAAGGACAGAAAAGGGCTCTGAAGGTGGTTGTTTAAGGCTACCAAAAAAAAAAAAAAAACCAAACCTAGAATTATTCCTGCTAATGAGAATGTGTCTTGTTGACAAAAAGTGTATCTTGTTTTCCTCTGATGGCTCACAGGAAGAAAATGTCTAACAGCTGGTGAGAGCAGGGAGCAGAGGTCTGGACTGGAGGTGTAACATGCTCGGTTCTGCTGATGATAATCACAGAGATCGCTGTGACTCAATGTTATAATTAGTTCTTTTGTTAGTGATTTTTTTTTTTTAATTAAGAAGTTAAATTTTCAGGTATTGTATTTAAAAATCATAGAAAATTGAGCACCAACATCTTGCATGCGTCTCCAGATGAGTCTTCAGTTGAGTGAAGTTAAATGAATATTTAATTACAAAAATCCTGAAGCTGCAGGACACCCCTGCCCACCCCATGCTCATCCTCCATGCAATAGGGTAGTCCAGGCAACCTCTTTATTGCACAGTTTGTTTTTGCTCTCAGCACCTGTCAGTCAGTTCAGTGCACTTGGCTTTTTAATAATGTTTCAGCTTTTAAAAGTGCTGGGCTTTGTTTTCCAAGCAACTACTCAGTAGAAGAATATGTTCTGCAGGTCAGGTTGACATTTGCAGTTGAACCAGCAGGCAGTCCCAAGAGCCACATTATTTACAAAAGAGCTCACTCAGTACTGAAGCATTATACTGGAGGAGCAGATGGGTATTCTTACAGTCTGAGAATCCAGAATGTATTAGTTGCTTTTTGTTTCTGAAGTTGCCTGCGTGTTTAGGGTAGCCAGACACATCACCCAAGGTAGTTATAATGCAGATGAGTATGTGAGGTGATGAGAGTGCTGCCACTGTAAATGGTAATGGAAATGTAAATGGGACGGGAAGGAGCCCTTGCTAATGGGTCCATGCTCAGCAATACATTCACTCTAGGTTGCAGTCATCTGTCTTGGCCCAGAACACTGCTGACTGCTTCCTGTTGTGTCCATGTTCATGTCTGAAATTCGGGCACAAAGCTGAATCCTAGGGCTTCCTCCAGGAGTTGTCTTCTTTGTAGGCTCAGGGATTACGCTGCCATGTGGCACCAGCTCCAGAAACTGGGAGAGGGGAAGTGGAAGAGTTCTTCCCGTTTTACAAATTAGTTATGTAATCTTAGATTCTAGAATTAATTGGTGAAGGGAGGGTCACTTCATGAGAGCTGCAAGGTGCTGAGCAGCTCCTTAGCTGTCACCTCCAGCCCTGCACACCCTCCAAGGGTTCCAAGGATTGTTAGCAGTGTGTAGCCCTGAGCCCTCAGAACCTGAGCATGGGGTGAGGCAGAGCTTAGCACACACTTAACGTAAAATAATAACATATCTTAAAGAACATCATTGCCTGATCTTTCCAGAGTTGCCTTTTCTTGTCTCATTAACCAATGCTCTAAAACGAAACTTGTCAGTAAAAACCCTGCCTTCTTGGAAATCTCTATTTAGACACACAGTTTGAAATGAGGATTTTAATTAGCTACACTAGGTAAGTAAAGCAAGAGACTGAGTATAACCTAATGCATTCACTGAGCCCTTTTTTCTCCTTGTTCAACAGCAGCTTAACCTTCACAGTCTCACTTTTTGGTGAACTGTTCTTTAGCTGTGGCTGGCATCTGTCAGTGTTGTCGGCTAGTGTCTGCTCATGCTAGACTTTACCTTCATTTAGTCATTGTTTTTTTTAAGGTAGGAATGTGATCTGATAAGAGTATGACAAAGCAGATAAACGCTTTTGATTCAGAGGGCATTCAGCATTTTAATACAATGGTATACACCTGCATAAATTGCTTACCTTTTTATTTTATTCTAGTCAATGCATGGAACTTTGAAAAGTGTTGAAGGGCCACCAAACCTGGGGATAAATTTACCTCTGAGTACGAAACCCACAAATCAGAACTCAGCCAGCCACAATAAAGAGGACACAAAATCCATCAACGGAACAGAAAAGTTAGAGAAGAAATCTCCTTCTCCTTTAAAGAAAGGAGAGCCTAGGAAAGTCAGCAGTCGTGGCTGGACGTGTTGGGATTGCGATAGGTTCTTCACTCAGAGAGACGTTTACATCTCCCACATGAGGAAAGAACATGGAAAGGTAAATGAATATTTAATTACAAGAATGTGACTTAAGCCTAAAATGTGAAGTTATGTTATTGTTGTTTTCTTCTTTAATGCAGTTGTGTCTTTTGCAGATAATTGAGTTCCATCATTGTTATTCTTTGTTCTTACATGTATTTCATCTGTCTCTCTTTTGCTGATTATTTTTTGTCAGTTTCTGCATAGTTCTTTTTGAGAAAACCCAGACACTCCTTTAATTGTTCATCCATTACCAAAATTTCTTCAGGATGGAAAGAATGAAAGATATTCCAGAATTTCTTCCAAGTTATCTCCTCTGATCCAGGTTCTTACTTTTTCCTTTGTGCCTTCACCATCCCCCCATCTTGAAAATTCATCAGATGTTAAAATCAGAGACTGGAGTCTTGTTTTATTGGTCCAGCGAGCACCAACCTGCATTTCATTTTAAAGGCATACTCACTGCAAGGTGAAGTCATTGCTCTGCTCTTACACTTGCAGATTCGGTCAACAAGGCAGCTGAGTTAACAAGGTGAAATTTATACTGAAAGCAGCAAGATGTGAGATAACGTACTCAAAGTTGATTGAAAGTGAAACGTGGAAATGCCATGTCCTCAGGTCAGCAGAAAGACAGCAGGGTGTCTTTGCTGCATCCCAGAGCTTTTCCAGTTAAATGAAAACGACTGACAGGTGGGCAGTCGTGAAACTGAACAGTTTTCCTCTGCTCCTGCTTGCAGGGAAGCGAGCTATGAAATTGACTTTTAAAATACAGCTAAAAAGGAAAAGAATAGTGATAAATACAACACACAGCTGACTCAGATTCCTCCTTCCTTCTGTGCTTCGTAGTTCAGAAAATTATCCTGATAGGTGCCTGGCCTCCTCTCTCCATAAAGATGGAGGGAGATTGATAGAGTTAGGACATGAAATATACTAGCTCCATGTCCTTTTGAAGGGTCTCTTTCAATTAGTCTCTTTAAACATCTGTCTTTCAGCGAGTGTGGCATCTTGCAAAACATCAGATGTGCCTTGAACAGTGGTAGGTCTTATAAAAACAAAACAGAATTAAAAGTATGCATAATCTGTGTATTTTCCAGAATTAGAGGGTTACTTCTCTTGAGCCAGGTAAGAAGCAAAAATAATATTTCAAGGTTGAGCAGAGGAACGTGGCCATAGAGAGGCTTCAAAAGGCAAATAATTTTTGTGGAAGTTGGTTAGAATGAAGTTGTTTAGTGTAGAAGAGTAGAGTCTTCAGATTTTGAGGTGTGCTTTTACTGTTTTCATGAGCCACTCACCTGTAGGTTCCCAAACTAGAATTTTCCCTGGACTGTTTTTCTGGAAAGGGTAAGCAGGAGGCTCCTTCATAAAAGAGTCTGAAATGCTCGATTTGCAATCCTGTTCTAAACTTACACTTTCCTTGACTTCCAGCTGAGGTGTCTGATGGCAGATAAATACACAGATGATGTTCACAAACATTTTTACAGCCCGATAAAAACGGATAAAACAGTATCTGAGTATGAGTTGTGTAATACCTGAGATGAGTTGGTGGCAGGAATGCTTTGCATGAGGTTACTCAAGTGCTTGAGTATTACAGCAGCGAGAGCAAAGTGCTTATTGTCAGGCAAATGTGGCCAATTGTGGAAAGTGAATGGTGCATTCCAAGTGGCAGAAGGCATGTAAAATAAGGTTAGTACCATATTGATAATGCTTTCTGATAATAACTTCAAATATTTATCTTCCTCCTTCTCGTATTTAATGAGAATGTGCATGTAACCTCAGGAACAGCCCTTATTATGAAATACCAGACAATTACAGCACTCAAACACTGGCCAGGAGGGCCAATTCATTGCTTATATTTGTTTACTTATATTTTATCCCTATTAAATGTCTCCTTAGGAAATGGGAGGCAGATGTAGATTAAAGTGAATAGATACCACTTGCAGAGATGGGTGATAAAAGGGCAGTTGTCACTCTTCTTCTAGACCTCTTGAAACTGTCACTGTTTTTAGCTTTTAAAATGATTGTATTCAAAACATAATTTGTTACAGATGCATTTTATTTTAGAGACTAGAAAAGTGCATAAGATGAAGGAATATGTGAAGTAGGTCTGATAAATAATGGCATTAATTCGTAGTTCACTTTTCTTAGAAATGCTAGATAAGTATTATTTGCTCTAAAATTACCTGTGCAGAATGTGCATTAGAAACTTTAATTAACCAATTTGTGAGCTATTACAGAACACATTGTCATGTAAGGTACTTGAAGGTAATTAGTTTCAAACTCTTGAGTGCTGCTGCTGCAGGTTCACAGTGAAGATGTAGAGCTGTAACCCCCTTTTAGCTGATCCCAGACCAAATTATTCAGACATAGGAGAAGTACAGCCACATGTCCTCTTTGGGCAGATTCCTGACAGTGTTGGGAAGCAGTGGCAGGTATACACATGCACATTTTCTGCATCCTCTTCCTGAGCTGGCTGAAGGGTAGCCAGATACTGGAAGGTTTGTAGCCACCATGGTGTGATTCTACCTAAGTGCTGTTTCTGAAAAAGAAAAGTGATTATCCCAGACAAAGGGTAGTACTAACACAGCTGTGCAGCTCCTGCCTTGAAGCTGAATCTGGTGTATCTCAGCCCAGTACACATATGCTGAGCTTCCTAGGACTTCTCCATCAGTGCCTTTCCAAGAAAAGACAGATGTTTTGTAAGCAGGAATTGCTTTACCAATTCCAACTGGCAGTGCAACTAATTATACATCCTCTTCTTCCTGCAGCTAAGGACAAGATGCTGTGCAACAGCTCCTGCAGCACCTAATTACAGAATAATTGACCCACAGGGAAAGCTGCATCATAAAGATCATCAGTCAGGTTTCTGTATGTATCAGGGACAGGTTTTTCTAAGTTAATGGAACTGCAGTTCGGTTCCACTGAATTCCAGTGGTAGCTGATAGCATGTCTAGTTTCTTCCACTTCTTTATGCTAGCATATTAGCAAGTGTCAAGGTTCATTCACATTAACCATTTTGTTTCATGGGGTGCTGATTGGGAGCCTGATGACCTGCTTTGTACTTTGACAATGTTTCAGAGCTCTAACAGCATGCATGAGCTTGAGCAGTTGGTCTTTGTTGGTCTTGCTGTCCACCTGAAATCTGGTTTATTTCACCTGTTCAGTTTAAAATACTAAGTACTTTTTAGCTATACCCAAAAAATTAGTATGGCTGATTGCTACTTGTTGGGCTATTTATCTGTGCTCATCTCTGCAGTATTTTTTAAGTGGGATGTTGTCACACTGTAAGAAGTCGTGGTGGTTGTTCACCATCCTAAGGGATTTCATGAGAGAGTGGTGTAGTACCCATATCTTCACACACATCGCATTCAGATTTTTGGTTAAAAGAAAATGAAAGAAAAATATATCCTGCATATTAGCAGGACTGCATGTCATGTGTTTGTTAATAAACAAAAAATATTTATTCTTGTTGCTATCCCAGTCACAGCATTTGCTTTTCCTGCACACACCACGTGATGATTCCCCATATTCTCCTGCCTTTATTCCATGGTTATTCCTCAGCAATGGATTTGGTCTGGGCTTACCTGAGGAAGCAGCCTGTCCATCTTAAAGCATGAGAATTACTGCTATGATACTGCCTGTCCTTCATAATATGCTTTCACATTTTGTTTTAGGCTTTTATAAATTCATCCCAGAGCACTGCAGTCATAAGCACACTGCAAAACCGTGTTGCAAAACATACTTATTAATGTGTTAGTGTTAATGACTGTGCACTGTGTGTACAAAGTTCTACAATTTCAGAGAAAAAAACGTGTTGGTTCTTCTTTTTTTTTTTTTTTTTTTTTTTTTTTTAATTGTCCTTTAAACACAGAAAGTAATCTATGTTGAGGAACATTGTGCCTCTAAGGGCATTATGTACAGGACTGTCCCTAATATGATAACCATATCTTGTTTCCTAATGGGATTCCTCCCATTTGCATCAGCTACCTTTCAGAAATCCTTTTCTTTCCGTCCCCCACATTCCTGTGATTTTGGTCTTGATAGCAAAAAGGTCTCTCATCTCCATCAGCATTTCAATGCAATTTGAGCCATATATTATTTAGGATTGAGAATTGTTTTTATTATTATTAGTTTAGATTAGGCACCAGAGAATGACTTGTATCACATTAAAATTTTCATGTGAATTGTTGCCTTTCTCCATTGTGTGGGAATCTGTCGTTTCCTCAGAAGCTGAGACCAAGTAAGCCAAACCCTCAACGTTCTTCTGCAAAGAAAACCTTTGGTATTGAATGCTTGGGAATGTAGGGACGAATCTTGTATGGATTCTCTAGAGCAGTCAGGTAGGATCCAATTCCAAGCACTGATCCAAATCATTTGTTCAGTGGCTTCAGCTGGAATGGCAGAATGACTTTACATTATTTGCTTTTTTCAGTTTGAAGAGAGCTCTGATCTCTGCTAGAGCAGGGAAAGGCAATCTGGAAATTTGTGTTTTTTTTCTTCTAGATAACTGGACTGATTGCATGAGACTGTCCATTCCTGCAGTTCTACCTGGGCAGCAGGCAGAGCTCTTCCTCAGTGTAGAATGCTTGCAGTCTGGGTGCAAGTGGCCAGAATTTCTTTCAGGAGATTCCAGTGAAGTCCATTTCTTCTTCAGACTCTGCACACCCTGACTCTGGCAGGAGTGGCTGCACAGAATGCTGAGTGTGGGGCTCTGGCCCCAGCTGGTTTGTTGAAAAGTAATCTGAGAAAGTCTTAAATGAGATCTGTTTGGTCCCTGTTTGGTTTTAACTTTCAAGATGTTACGCTGATTTCTTTATTACTACCAGAGCAGTAGAAAATTACAGATGGGAGCTTGAAAAATCTTAATTAATTGGGAAGGCAGGAGATTTGATAAGGAATATTTTGGTTTCCTTGCTGCAGCTACTGATAAGACAGGCCAGTTTGGACTGAGTTCTAAGATTGTGATGTGCTAATAAGACCCAAAGCATAGGTCTGTGTCATTTGCTCTTGGAGCTTTTATAGTTCACAGTTTGGAGACATTATTTCTTCAGATACTGGAGCTCCAGTGACTTGTGTTCAGCTGGAATGGCATAGAAGGAGACTGCTCCACCCTTCTTACCTTCCTTCCTTTTCTTTCTCTTTCCACGTAACAAACAGTGGTATAAAACACATAGAATTCCCCAAACACACGATCCTCAGGTTGGCATCAGGCTGTATCTCGCATTTCTTTGTGACTTTTCTGAGCCTTGTTGGCACATCAGTATTCATGATGCTTTGCTTTGGTCCTTATCACCCCTCGTCTTGTGGGTGACGGAAACCTCTTGGTCAGCAGCTTCAGAAGTTTTTCAGCAGTGGGAAAGGAAAGGTGACTTTATTGTGAAAGCACATCTCTGCTCATTCTGCCTTTACCAATCCAGAAATTGCCCCCTGATCTCCCATACCTCTTTGATGGAAGAGCTTCACTTCACTCACAGTCTGTGGTTTCTGTTCGCAGTCTTTGGTAGTGTGTGCTGGCCACACTGCTTTGAAAGAGATGTAGTTTGCTTGACCAAAGTGACAGACCCTGGTAAGTACGTTTCTTTCCTATGATTGAAGGTTGTGGCACACAGACTACTTTCACCTAGCTTTTTTTTTTTTTTTTTTTTAATAAATGTGTTTTTCTTCTTCTTTTAAAGCAAATGAAGAAACACCCTTGTCGCCAGTGTGACAAATCATTCAGTTCATCCCATAGTTTATGTCGTCACAACCGTATCAAGCACAAAGGCATTAGGAAGGTTTATACATGCTCGTAAGTACTACTTCTGTTTTATTTTTCAGAGATATTAGGGACAGAGTATAACCAACAATAAACATTGTGAATTGAATTTTTCTTCTTCAGGCACTGAGGTTAGAGTAACCAAACCTGACCTCAGTCTAATGGACTAGCTCCAGGAAGATAAAGAATGTGGACTTGAGTGCAGAATTAAGACTCCTTTGGAGCTAGCATTCGTCCTTCATGGAAAGTGATTGTTTTCCTGCTCAAATTTAGTTAGGGAGAACTTAACAAAGTGTTTAATTGAATGTACAGTTTAGTTACATTAATAGAGGTACAAACTCATGTGCTCCATTTTGTCTAAGCCACGCTTTGTTGTGGGTCCCAATACTCCTGTCTTGGGTATTGTCTTAGGAGAACTTTTCTCTCATTTGCTGTGAATACAAGCTGCTCAAACATCTGCAGTTTTGTTTTTAATTGTTCTCCCGTTCTGATAATACTTGTGCAATTGATTGGAAGAGTGCTTCTTCAGTATTATCGTTAGTAGATTGGACTTGTCTGTGTTTATTTACTAGCTCTGTTCACATTCTTCAGAGTAGTACATCTCTTTCTGAGCATGACATTTGGACCTCTGCATGCCTGCTCTGTGTTTATACAGGCACTGCCCAGACTCCAGACGTACCTTTACCAAACGGCTGATGCTGGAAAAACATATTCAGTTGATGCACGGCATTAAAGACCCTGATGTCAAAGAAATGACTGAATCAGCTAACATGGAAGAGAGGGAAGTAAAAGAAGATGCAAAGGTAATCACTTAGCAGATTCATTCAGTCACTGAGTTCTTGTGGGGATACATCCAGGATCTTTAAACAGATATTTTGATCCCATAAAATTCTGCTTTTCAAAGCTTCTGCAGCTAAGTCGTCTCACAGCTGTAGAGAAGCTGCAGGTTGCACAGAAGCACGGTGAGCTTATCCCAAATGCCCAGCCTTGAGCTTGTTTGACAAACCTCAGCAGTCACTGCTTATTTATGCTTACAAAAACAGTATTTACAACTTTTTTTTTAGGTTCCTAGTCCAAAGCGTAAATTGGAAGAACCTGTCCTGGAATTCAGGCCTCCACGAGGTGCAATCACGCAGCCACTGAAGAAGCTAAAAATCAATGTTTTCAAGGTTCACAAGTGTGCTGTCTGCGGCTTCACAACTGAAAATCTCCTCCAGTTTCACGAACATATTCCTCAACATAAATCTGATGGCTCTTCTTACCAGTGCAGGGAGTGTGGACTCTGCTACACATCTCACGTGTCTCTCTCCAGGCACCTCTTCATCGTACACAAGCTGAAGGAGCCGCAGCCAGTATCAAAGCAGAACGGGTCTGGGGAGGATAATCAGCAGGAGAACAAACCCAACCACGAGGACGAACCGACCAACAGCACGGTGTCGGACAGGAGATGCAAAGTGTGTGCAAAGACTTTTGAAACTGAAGCGGCCTTAAATACTCACATGAGAACACATGGCATGGCCTTCATCAAGTCGAAAAGGATGAGCTCAGCTGACAAGTGATCAGATCATTGGGACATGGAAATCTCTCTCCACATTGGAATACTAATGACATTTTTGTTACAGAAAGTTCAAGGTATAATAGTGTTAACAGTACTGTTCAGGCTGTTGCAATATATTCTGCATAACTATGTCCCTTTCGCCTCATTGTCTGTACCCTTGAAACCATTGAAGCAGTATTTGAGTTGAAAAGAGTTTGTATATATTTAAACTAATAACTTTTATACTCTTTGTTACGTGTTTGTATTGGTATCTAGTGGAAAGTTTTGTTTTGTTTTGTTTCTGTTTTTTGTAGTAAGTTTCTCTAAAACAGAGTTCTTAATGCTGGCTCAGTTTCCTGGGGTCTCTTAAACTGTTTCTTATGTGAATGCTTCTGACAGAAAGTTCAGCAAATGGGAGCACAGCAGAAGGCAGTGCCTGGAGGGAAAAAGCAAGGAAGCGAAGGGGATATGCCACATCCTGCAGGACTTTGGATAGTTCTGCACGTGGCAGGAAGCTTTCAGACTTTCTCTCCAAAAAAAGTACCCCTGCACATGTAAAGTGCAGTGCTGGTTGAGGTGCTGACACCAGAACAGGTGCAGACACCCCAGGGTGATCACGTACTTCTGACAAGTGTAATTGCACAAATATATATATATATATATATATCATGAAGTAATTTGTAGCCATCAGGTGCTTGTGGTCAAAGCTCTGATAGTTATAAAAGGGCTGGGCTGCTCTGGATTAAATAAGTAAGATGTAATTAGAGGCATAGGTTTATCATTATAATGTTTTGGGTTTTTTTTTTTTGTTTGTTTGTTTGTTTTTTTGTTTTGTCATGTAATTTATTAAACATAATAGAAACAATTACACAGCATTAAGTATTTTCCTTTATCTCTGGTTATGAAAATAGCCAACCCTTGTTGCTGGGGTTGACGTTTCCCAGCTCTGTTTGCTAATGCCAAATGTTCCAGGGCTCAGTGTTCAACCACAGCCATCGAGGAGCAAACACACACCACACCAGCCCATGTGGGTACGACTGGCACTTCACCTTTAACACGGACCTCACGGAGCTTCAAAGTGCATCCAACATCCCTGGTGAGCTTTCACCAGGTACAGAAAGGTACCGCGCTGTCCCTTTCATATATGGTTCTCTGTGAGATTTATATTTTTGTTTTCTTTTTGCATTTTATACCTTGTATGTATCCCTAGAAAACCTTTTTGTACTTTTTCCTTTCTTTCTTCTAATTCTTTTTTTTTTTCTTTCTTTTCTTTTTTTTTTTTTAAGAAAAAAAGAAACAAATCTTGTACATATAGATAGCTGCATGATATATGGTAGTAATTGTTCGGTTCCTTAAAAGTCTTGCTGCTGTCAGATGTTACTATACACTACGTCCATTACGACTGTATTAAACACATTTCGTATGTAAATAAATGTGGAGCATTTTGCCCCAAAATATTTGTGAGATTCTGTTATTTATCATTAAATTTTAGCAACTTTAAAGATGGAAGTGTTTGGAAAAAATACAGATCCTTCTCAGCCGCCTCCATAACCCTTCCTTAATCACAAAGTTGTACATTGGATACATGAATTCTGCTTTGTCTCTTCATCCTCATTCATACTAATTTGGTTCGTTGGTAAATGCTTCCTATCCCACTTCTATTACTCGTACATGAGTGGTTGTGAGGTTCTCCTCCCTCCCAGCATCACCCTGGCCACCACTGCCCTCCTCATTGAGTGTATACCTCCAACACTTGTTTGTTGATGTGCACTGTCAACTGTACAACAAATGAGTTATCACTATGCAGAATGGTGTTTTGTATACAGTGAACAGATAATAAAAACTAAATTTTCACAGCCGTTACAAACACTTTGGTTTATTTCACCACCTCGTGGTCACACATCTGCAAGGAATGCTGTGAGCCATAGCTGTGGGTCTCGGATGCCAGTGAGATGGAGTTACACAGGGCAGTAAGAACAGAAAATGACTGCAGAACATTGGAGAATCACAGGATCATTAAGGTTCACTAAGACCACCTAGTCCAACCATCCACCTGCCACCAATTTACCTCTAAACCACTTCCACAGAGTGCTATGAAGTATCCTGCCTGGCACTCAGTTGCCATTAAGAATGCTAACAGGTTAATAGGACAGGAATACAGAAACATATGGAAAGCATCATTGTGTCCTTAAAAAGTCCACAAATGCCTGCACAGGGAATGCCTCATGGAGCTCAAATTTCCCACCAGCAGCCCAGCAGGCAGAGCAGAGCTGGGCAGACGCGAGGCTGGGTGGACAGCAGATGAACTTGACATGGGGACATCGGATGGGGCAAGGGATGGGCAAAGCAGACATAACAAGGATAAGTAAAGCCATGACGATGATAAAAAGGATGCCTGCTCCTTTCATGAGAAAGGAGGGCAAAGGGTTTCAGGGTGCTTCTCCATCTCATGTAAGGGACTCTGCAGCAGGATGCTGCAGATCCTGAACATTAGTATGAATCAAAAAGTAAGTAGAGCAATTAGTGGACCCCTCAAACACACAGACAGCTTCTCTGCCTTTGGGAGTCCCTGACCTCAAAGCCTCGCTGGTCATCCAGTGGTTTTGTCTTTCTCAGAGGCACAGCACAAGTAAGACCAAGCTTTGCTCAGCTTTGGGCAGGCTCTGTGGTCTCTTTCTATTCCACGCTGTTCATTTTTCTTGCACGCTGAGCTCCATGGGGCTCCTTCTGCTTCTTCCATGGACTGGGGCAGCTCAGGCTGAGCACAGCTGCCGACTGCTCCTGGCTTCCACCGGACACTTGCAGACGCAGAATTCAACCTTCCAAACATCCTGACTCTCTCAGTTCTCAACTACTGAGTATCCACGGGGAATTCAGTGTGCCAGGGCTATTTAGTTTTAAAAGGATTTTTATATAACTGTGACCTTTTCATTCTGTTGGTATTACCTTTCTCAGCACGCCGGCCAGGCCAATAATGAGACACAGAAAAAACCTATTTCACTATAAAACCTTTCTCAAATATTGGGGCAGTTCAGGAGTGAATTCCTTCTGTTTGTATATCAGCTTATTGCAGAAAGGTTATCTGCCTGGGCTCCCAGGAGGACAACGGTTGGGTAACACAGCAAAAAGAGAAATCAGAGCACAGGGCAGCAAGAACAGCAAGTAGGTCCCTCCTTCCACTTGAAGAGAACTGCGCTGTCTCCTCTTTGGTGACCGTACTGAACTGCTTCATTAATGCTATCTTATCAGTATTGCAGGCTGCACATTGAACTGCCAGCTCAGCACCAGGCAGGGCAGTGCAGAGCTGTCCTGCAGCACTGCTCTGCTCCTCTGCTGCTGGGAGAGCAGACACCCGGGTCTGGCTGGAAGTGGAGGAGGCACTGCAGCTCTCCGCTCCAACACCAGAGCTTTATGGCTCGAAGGAAAAAGAATGTATTCAGGGCAGCAATGTGACCATCCGCAAAATAATCCAAACATTCTATCCCTCACAGATGCGTCCCCTAACGTGATGTGGCAGAAGCCTCCATCCCGTTTCTTTATATTCTGCAATTCTCCCATTCTGTATGCACGGACTGTCATCAGACAGCGGAGCTGTGGGCGTGCTGCCCTGTGAGCCGTGCCCTCGGAGCGCTGCAATATTTCTGCTCTAAGTGACTGCTGCCTTCTCAGTTAAAATGCAGAGCAGCTCTTGATGAGTGCCATCAGGCCACAACTGGAGGAGCTGCTTTCTCAAAACACCACTCCATCATTGCATTTACATACTGTTGCTGCGAGCAGAGCTCCTGATGTGCACAGAAGGTCTCTACATCATGCAGCTCCAGGCGGCTTCGCATGGATGAGGTGCTGCCCACACATGCTGTGTTCCCGTCCTGTAATGTCAAGCACTTCCAAACGCTCCTAAAAGTCAAGGCAGGAGTGCTCTGTGGCCAGAATTCATCTCCACTGAACTCAGTTACCACGGATCGGATCATCTCTGATTGAGGCTGTGAGCGCCATCGCAGGTTTGATTTCTTCTTTTGTTTTCTTGGAGAGTGCTTTAGGCTCAGTTCTTGAAGCAAAAAGCAAAGCAAACGGGTGCCGTTGTCAGCCTGAAATGCTGCTGATCTTCCCAGGTAAAAGCTACAGCAGGGAGAAAGGAACATGAAAGGGTTACAACTATTCCAAGACATGATGGCGAGAATAGAATCACAGAATCATAGAATTGCTCAGGTTGGAAAAGAACTTAAAGATCATTGAGTCCAACCACACCCTAACCACGCTACCCAAACTCTAACAAGCCTCCACTCAGGGTTTGTTATGGGACACGATGTCCCTGAGCACTATGTCCAAACAAAGAGAAATAGAGAAGGCCACCGCATCCGTCACCCCAGGAACATCGGGTGCACATGGTGTCAGCAACACAGAAACATTAACCCTTATTGCTAACAACTTACTGATAATTCTTTTCAGCTCAGTGCTCTCCCTGCCTCATCAAAACACTGAAACCAATGCGAACGTCTCAGGCTGACCAAAGGACTGCTAAGCAGGATGAAATCTTTACTCTGACTTCTTGAAAACATTTTTACTGCCTCCTTATTTGCTCTTGGGAGGTTTCAGAAATTGAAAACATCTGAACATTCGTCAATTATTTCTGATTTTTTTTTTTTTTTCCATATTCTCGGAGGAATGAGAAGGAAAAGAGGACATCAGCTGCTGAAAGCGGATCATCCAATCCACCCCTCTCCTCCTCCCTTACACCAACAACCAAGAACTAAAAATGACTGTCACAAATAAAGAATTCCCTGAAACACATCCACACAGCTACAACCACATCAGCTGTCCCAACATCAGGTGGCAGAGCAGGCTGAGGATGTTATGTCACCCACATAGAAATATAACCATGCAAAGAGACTGTGCCTGTGACAATATCCTTGCCAGCTAGAGAGACACACGACAGAAGGTGGACAGGAGCAGAAGCCATGTGTGCTTGGAAGCAGCAGGCATTGTGTTCAGCATGAACATGGGCCCAAGTTGCTTCCAAAGCACAGGCTCAAATGAACTGTGTTTACCCCAGGTGACTGCAAATGGAGCATCCTTTTAGCCAGCATTGTTCAGCTCAGGGACGAGGTATGAGCTCTTTGCCAATGCCCAAACTCTTTGAACACAAAGAGCCATAATTCAAATATTTTTCTATAGGTAGCACTCACGTCTGGATGTTTGCATAGGGCTGGTGAAAGAGCCAGAATGTCAAGAGCTCCATTTTTCTGCGGAAGAAAAAATTAGTGTAATTTCCTAGCGGCCGAGCTCCTGAAGAGCCGCTGTACAAATACTGAAAGCAAACAGACGGAGAACAAAAAGACTCAAAAATACATGTAACCTTTAATAGCTGAAGCTATCCCAATAGTACAGTAGCAGCCAGCAGCAGAAGTGTGGGTGAAGCGCAGCAGCACTGGAGAAGGGAGAAAAGTGCACCCCTAACACGGATCCCTCGACTCACTGATGTGGGAATAGAATGTTGTTTCTGCATTCGATATTAAAAAGAGCAATCGGTTTGAAGAAGCAGAACATCGTGCATTTGTGTTCTGTAACTTATCCTTAGAAATAGTTGCTCTAAGAAGTAAAATACTGTATATGTTAGCAGCGTGTTTTAGAAACATTATTACTGAATTATGTGACTAATTCTTTCTTGCAAAACTGTAATAGTTTGTTACACGTTCCAAACAATGCAAGTATATTGTTAGGGATTAGAAAACATATTGTAGAGTTGTTCTGTTCAGATAAGAAACTCCCAGCAAAAGAAAAACAGATTTGGCAAACATCAAAGAAGTCAGGGCCTCTGCACAAGGCCAGATGTCTCACTCCATGAGAAAGTTGGGGTGTGAAGGCAGGCACCAAGGTACTCCCCTGTCCTTCTCCCGAGCTTATCTTTGTGGAAAGAAGGACAAGCAGATATCTGCAAAATAATGATTAGGCGTGGAATAAGTTAATTAATTAACTACAGATTTACGCTGAAGCAGCAAAAATCTATGTTTGTTCAGTGTTTCCACGTCTAGTGAAGCGTTGAGAAGATTGTGAACCTGAAGTACTCAGACAATGAGGAACCAGGGGAGTAAGAGATCAGCGTTGGGGAATAGGGAATAAAAGATGTAATGCTGTTTTCTGGGTGCTCTCCTGCTTGCAGGAGGCCCGCCATTGCAATTGTGAATAAAATCTGCATTGTCAGAGATACCGTCCTGGAAAATTACTTGGATATTTCCAACACTGAGAAGTGTTCTCTGAGCTCTGCAAGGCTGATCAGCAGCAAGCTGGTTGTCAGAGGTGCTCTGGTCTCAGAATCGAGTGTGGCTTTGTGCTTTAGACAAAAGAATGCAAGCAAGATACTACAGAGTCCTTGGTCCCACGAAGCTGCCCTCTTGCTTTTCTAAATTCCCATAGAGTGGCTCTGCCTTCTTCTGCTTGCTATCAAATTGGATTCTGCTATTTCAAGGCTTTTTTTAAATTATTTTCTCTACTAGGAATGGCTGCAAAGAGTGGTTCCAACATCATCCTTTACTTTCCCTCAGATACTGCAATTTCTGCTTATCCTTACACTCAGGAATTTGTGTTTTCCCAGTCCACAACAGGTCTGTTTTTGTGAATCAGAGCCTTACAAACAATAACAGATACCATTTTCCTATCAGCCCCTTGGCTCCATGCTGTGTGGTGCAGCACTGCACCGGGATGTAAAGATAAACCCATCCCTTCATTTCAGCCACTTGTTTTGTGATTTGACTGCAGTGGGATTCCACAGATCTACGTCTGCAAGAAAACCTGAGAGCACAGCAGAACCCTAAGCCCTCATCTCATCTTTTCACGGTCAGAATCCTGCAGCAGCCCCAACATTCTATGAATTACTCCGGATCGCAGCGACCACAGGAGTGCAGCAAAGCACCACACGGCCCAGGGCTTTATGTCTTCACTTTCTTGCCCCCACCTGGTCCCTCCTGCACATGGCACAGCAGTGTTGGAGAGAGGCATGCGACAGGAAAGTGCCAAATATTTATAATTGCATAGATGATAGAATCAGAGCACTGAAGGTTGGAAAACACTTCCAAGATCAGCCAGTCCAGCCATCGACCTAGCAACAGTAATTTCCCACTAAGCCATGTCTCTCAGTACATCTATACATTCCTTGAACACTTCCAGGGACAGTGATGCAATCACATCTTAAACATATATTATATATATTACATATATATATGTATACATATGTACATAAAATTGCCTACAGAACAAGCTCTGAATTCATTATTTAATAGGAACGTGGGTGTGATACAAAAGATTTCGGGACAAAAGGTGGTGTTTTTTGTTTCGTTTTGTTTTTTTTAATTAAAGCAAACGTGATATTCTGCATTAACATCATGAATTCTTTTCAGAGATAAAATGAGAAGTACCTCCGTAATCAAAATAAATAACTGCTTTATTCCAACAGCAAAGTAAATTTAGCAAAGGTTTAATTGTCAGATATTGTTCATAATTGCCTGTGATTGTTGGGGCTGAAGTCAGTTCTGCCACACCTCTGTAAATCAGGACAATAGTCAGTGATTCATTCCAGGTACAAACACTTCTGGGGCAAACAGGCACAGTTTGGTCCTCCCTTGGCTTTAGGAGAGCAATCTTCTGGGAGCAAAATGTAATTAGACAACAAGTAGCTCGTACGATGTATTTTAATTAGTGGTTTTGTGATTGGCATCTCTCAGCTGCATAAATATCAGTCAAGTGGGAAATGCCCTTACGGGAAAAGGCAGTGACTGAGAGGCAGATTTCAGCAGCACAGCCCACAAACAGCCCCTCCTGCAAACATCACAGCACGCACCTAGCAGCCACCCGGAGCACGAACTGGGACTTACTCCTCATGAAGGCACTCACTGAAAGAGGAGAAGAGACGAGACTCTGGGATGCCTTTTAAGAGAATCCATAACTATTCTTAATTACAGCAGCAAATGAAAAACCCCAATCCAGTATACGATTTTTCTTTCATAACACCCACATTTGTTTCACAGGCAGGTGACCCACAGTGCTTGGATCCCTCATTAATCTCCACCGAGCCATTAAGATATCTCTCCTTCTCTTTGTCCTGTGTGGGACAGTGCAAAAGGATTCCTCCACGCATCAGAGGTGTGTGAAAACCAATATGCAGCTCCAGATGTTGTGGACAACTGAATAACCCGCAGGAGACTTGTGGTCCCCTTGCACTGATGGCTTTTCTTTATCATGTTATCTCAATCATCACTTTCAACCCTTTGTGTTGGCACTGAAAAAAGGTGAGCAGATCTGTACATGGAAAAACCCTATTCTGCCCTTTTGGGTGTGTGTTAATGATTAGATATATAAAGTCTCTTTAGTTATATGCATTTATATATAAAAAAATAATATTATATATATATATATATAATTACAGCATATATACAGCATACAACATATATATATATACAGCACATATATATATATAAATGCATATAACTAATTATTAACTAAATAATATCTCATTAACTAAACAATATCTAATTATTAACACACACCCAAAAGGGCAGTAAAACATAAATCTAGTAGGTTGGACACACATCGCTTTAAGGCTATAGAAAGGATAAACGACACAGCGCCGCTCCGCAGCCGCGCACCCCGGCACTCAGTCCTCCCCCCCCCCCCCCCCCCCCCCCCCCCCCCCCCCCCCCCCCCCCCCCCCACGGCCCCACGGCCGCCAATCCGCTGCGCCCACGCCACGACGGTGCCCGGCAGCCGCCTGATCCAGACGGCGCGGCCGTGGAGGAGAGCCCCGCCGCGCTGCTGTCCCGCTGCTGCCCCGCGCACCGTCTCGGCTCGCTCCGCGCCGCCTCCTGCCCGCGCTCCCGTCCCGTTCCCCGTCGTCCGAAGGAGCGTCAGGCACCTGCGGGGGCAGGCGGGGTCCTCGCGTCAGGACCCCTGATCCGCGATGCATGCTGGGAACTGTAGTCCTCGGCTTTCGCGCCACGCTGGGCGCGAGCGGGGCGGGGTGAAAAAAAGAACTACAAGTCCCGAGGAGCCGGGCGCTCCGGCGGTGGGAGCGGTAGTGCTGCGGGGCCGCGACGAGCGCTCTGAGCCGGGGATCGGCGCTTGTCCGCGGGCCGCCATGGATCTCTTCGGGGATCTGCGGCGCATGAACAAGCGGCAGGTAGCGGCCGGGCCGGGGCGGGGGGTCGGAGGCGGCTGTCCCCGGGCTGACGGCATCTCGGGGCGTTGGAGTGCCGCCGGGTCCCAGAGCGGCCGGTGCGTGAGCGCTGCTGGCGTACGGCTGCGGCCGGAACGGCGCTGCGGCTCGTTGTTGTGGGCCGGAGATCCGCCTCTTGCTTAATGTGACGCCGTCACTTGTGAAAACGTGCTGAAAATATTCTCTCGTCCCGTGTAGCTGTATTACCAGGTCCTAAATTTTGCGATGATCGTCTCCTCTGCCCTTATGATATGGAAAGGGCTCATCGTCATCACTGGCAGCGAGAGCCCCATCGTTGTGGTGCTCAGGTGAGTGACGGCGCTGCCCTGCTGAAGGCCTCGGGCTCCTTCCCTGCTCCGCAGGCAGCTGTGCGGGTCTGAATTGCACCCACACAGAGCAGAGCTCCATCCGTGCTTAGAATGCAGGCTATCAGTGATGTGTGTGGAGCCGCAGTTGTGTGAGACCTCGGTCTGTTTCCTTAAGGAACAGAGCGGCTACCCAAGATCACTCATGTTGCCCAAGGAGGCTGTGGATGCCCCATCCCTGCAGGCATTCAAGGCCAGGCTGGATGTGGCTCTGGGCAGCCTGGACTGCTGGTTGGTGACCCTGCACACAGCAGGGGGTTGAAACTGGATAAGCATTGTGCTCCTTTTCAACCCAGGACATTCTGTGATTCTGTGCCTGAGAAATTGCGTTTTCTAAAGGCATTGAACAGTGTTAGGTCTATTTGTTAATTTCTTTTTTATCACACGGACATTTATTTTAAAGCTATATTATGGTAACACTCCTTTTATTAGTTTCAGTGGAACATTGCTTCTCTCTCAGTGGTAATTTATGGTATGTCAAGACCCAGTCCTGCGGGCCTCTGAGTGCTGATCAAATGAATGAAGTTAAATGCATGTTCATGGAAGGTTCAGCCTTAGAGAAACAGAATGGACATCCGTAAGGAATCATGCAGAAAGTAACAGCATTTTAATGGGAAAAGTCCATTAATCTGACTGGTGAAAGCTATTGCCAAAATAACAAAAAATGTCTGACTGGAAAAAAGGCATCAGTTTTCCTGATCATTACAGAATCACAGAATGGCTCGAGTTGGAAGGGACCTCAAGGATCATGAATCTCCCCTGCCACATGCAGGGCCACCAACCTCCACATTTCATACCAGCCCAGGCTGCCCAGGGCCCTGTCCAACCTGGCCTTGAACACCTCCAGGGATGGACGGGGCATCCACAGCCTCTTTGGGCAGCTGTTCCAGCACCTCACCACTCTCTGTAAAGAACTTCCCCCTGACATCCAATCTAAGCCTCCCCTCCCTCAGCTTCAAACCATTTCCCCTTGTCCTGCAGTTATCTACCTTTTCAAAGAGTTGATTCCCCTCCTGATTGCAGGCTCTCTTTAGGTACTGAAAGGCTGCAATGAGCTCACCCTGCAGCCTTCTTTTCTTCAAGTAGAACAAGCCCTGCTCCCTCAGCCTGTCTTCATAGGGGAGGTGCTCCAGCCCTCATTATCATGATCATTATTAGCAGTCACTGATGTAAGAACAAGCCTTGCTCCTGTCACTTAAACTTTACCCAGAAAAGTATTTCGTATGCTTCTGTGAAACACTTCTTGGCTTTTGCCTGTCAGATTGTCTTAACCTGAATGGCTCGTTTTGTTCCTTTGTTGGTACTGTATGGTACTGTCACTTTTCTGTAGAGCTTATTTATTACTTTCATTGAGGCAGTGAGAATGTCTTCTATGGGCTGGCCCAGGCTGGGGCTCACTGGGCTTTGGGTCGTGTGTTAGTTATCTGCATGGTATTCCTGAATGGGTGAAGCTATAGATTGTAGTTAGAATTGTGGGTTTATCTGTACGAATGAAATGCTTGTTGTTTTCATGGTTGTTCTCCTGCTTGCCATGGTGCTAACAAACTCTTTCCTTCTCTTTTTGTTTGTAGTGGCAGCATGGAGCCAGCTTTTCACAGGGGAGACCTCTTGTTCTTAACAAATTTCCACGATGACCCAATCAGAGCTGGTGAAATAGTTGTGTTTAAGGTTGAAGGCCGAGACATTCCGATCGTTCACAGAGTAATCAAAATTCATGAAAAGTAATGCAATTTGATGTTTTCCTTCTTTCTAAATACAGTTTCACTCACTATGACTTTCAGTTACTTTTCAGTTTGGTAATATCTCATGAAAAAAAGCAATTGAGGGTTTGATTTAATGTACAGCTGGTCTCTAGGATGTGATCTGTTCCCAGTTCTGGGGCATGCTTCCTGTGATCCTGCCTCCCATCCCTCAGCAGAATTGCTCAGGTTCAAAGTAGGTCAATATATGCCACAGGGAATTCTGTTGTCTTTACCCTTCTGGCAGAGGCCTCACATAATGAACAGTTCTTCCCAAGTGTAAGAGGCAGTTCTACTTTTGCACAGTGAAAAGGTAGCGTGCATATTGGAAGCAGTGGAGTATTTGCTCCTTAAGAGCTCTGAGCGAGTGTTGAACCAAAATCCTGCATGTATCATCCTCACATACGTAGTGCTAGAAAGGAAGCAAAACTTTACAGGTTTTCTACAGGTTTTAAATTATATCAAACAAAGTACAAAACACTATTTCCATTTGAAGTAGTAAGGAAAGCTTATTATTTGGGTATGTTTAGGATTTAAAATCTCTGTTCCTGCAAAAGGAATGAACCTTCTTAATGGCCAGAAGTTGGGATATCAGCACTTCTGGGCCCATAGCACTGCATGCAAGGTTTCCCATGGAGTTGTTACAGAACAAAATGTTTTGTCCACTTGATGATATTTCAAGAGTGATTACCTGTATTATTTTTTTATTTTCCCTTTTACAAATATCAAATACAACTGAGGTTTTGCTGTATTGTTTAACTGAAGAGTAAGTGGCCTGAAAGTGTGTTGCAGTGACAAAATATTAAGTTGTATGCAGATTTGCAACTATGCTAAAGTGTCTTTGTTTTTTATTAACACCAAAGGAGTACTAAGCTAAATTTCGATTTGAGATCTTCCATTAAAAAGATACTGTCTCTTAGGGAGAGGGGTCGGTTTTATGGTTGGGTGCTGTTTCTTGTTTTTTTAAATTAAAGTCTATGTTCTCTTGAAAATATAGAGAACAGTATGTTTGGGGGTTTGTTTTGTTTTGTTTTTCCCAGATCAGCAAATACTGTTTTAGTTTTAAAAAATTAAAATGAGTGCCTTTCATATTCATCACGTAATTACTGACATCAGGTGATGGTCTGGGAGCATTTTATACCACCTCTCCTGCTGAAATTTATTGTCTGTCAATAAAGGCTTTAATGTTAATGACTTAATGGTGCCTGTTAATAAGCAAGACTGGAAGTAAACGTTGTTATCTAATCTTGTAGTACTTCCGTCTTCATTGTGTGCTTTCAGGATGTTGATTGAAGTTTTTAAATTAAGTGGTTCAGTTTATCACCTCGTTGCCTTTTAGAGAAAATGGGAACATCAAATTTCTGACCAAAGGTGATAACAATGAAGTCGATGATAGAGGCTTGTACAAAGAAGGGCAGAACTGGTTAGAGAAGAAAGACGTTGTTGGAAGAGCAAGGGGGTAAGTAATGCTGTGTTCTTTTTAGCTAAAAAAGAGAACAAGTGATCAACTTAAATCGATTCTACTGGGTACAAAGTGGATAGCATGGTGTTTTTGAACTTCTTAAATAGACTGGTAATTAAGCTAATTTCCGTGGGAAAGTACTTTCTGCAGTCTATTCACTGTTGTGGAGTGGCAATTAATTTCTTGAAGAAGTAGCATGTAATAAAAATAGTTCACCAGTGAGTAACAATCAACCAACCTTTTCTTGTAACTTCTAGAAACTGCCAGGAAATGTTTTCCACATCCCACAGTAATTTTGTGCAAGGTTCCAGCTTTTGTCCACTTTCCTGCTTGCAAAGAGGATTTTCTCAAATTATCCATAGTTTTGTGTAAGAAATATGTGTTTGGAACATTCTTGCTTGGAGCCTTGTACCGTTAAGGCACATGTACTTTTAATGCCGTGAATAGTATTTAGCAAGATGAAGCATTTGTGTGATGGAAGGAGTGGGGTCTGTGAGAGTTTGCTCCTGAATTTGTGTTGTCAGATGCACGTCATCTGTAAAGCCCTTGTTGTCTGCTTGAGTGTTTGTTTTCTCTGAAATCCATTATCAGACATTTCTGAGGGTTAATTTTGCACTCATCTGTTCTGTCCATTACAGATTTTTGCCTTATGTTGGTATGGTAACTATAATAATGAATGACTATCCGAAATTTAAGGTATGTATACAGACAGTTTGAATCTAAAGCTATAAAATACCACGTAAGGTAATGAGGAAAGAGTCTGGCTTGTAAAAGTACTTGTTAACCAATTTGTTTCGTAATGTAAAATGAGCATTGTTTTCTTGTTAGCTTGTCTGCAGTCTGGCAGAACATGGTGCTTTTATTGATTTGAAAGCAATTTATAGCTACCTCATGAGTTAAAATGTATACAGTTGTAATGCTTATTTATAAAGAATATGGTCACAATAAAATATTGCTGTAATTCTACAGGAACTGTAACTGCTCATCTACAACGTGTAATGTTGTGGAGGGCACATTTTGAGCAGTTTATAATGTCAGAACTTGTCTGAAAAATTGTCATCAGTCTCCGTTTTGTATTTTCTTTTGCAGTATGCTCTTCTGGCAGTAATGGGAGCTTATGTACTTCTGAAACGGGAATCCTGAGGCACAAAAAAAAGTCAGCTTTCCAAGAACAACGTATAAAGCTAAATATATGGGGATAAAAAAAGCGTAATATATTTCAGATGTTTTAACTTCTGTCTACAGTTCCAAAGCTGTGCAAACTTTTGTCTTGTCTAAATAAAGGGTGTTATTGATGACTGAAGCTTTTGGCTCTTGCTTCATTCCTTAATGGCGTATTTAACATCTGAAATAAGTAGTGTTCTAGTTGGCGTTTTGCAAAAGTAAGATACTGATCATCCAGTGCTAGAGCAGCTCATGCACTCATTAATGTGCTGTGGATGCATTGCTCCCAGACTGCAGTGTGATGGAGGCTCTCCTCGCTTTCTCCTGCCTGCCTGTTGAGGTATTTTGCTGTTTCTGTTCACAACCTTATGAGCTGTTCTGTCAGCACTTAGAAAGACACACAGCACACATGTAGGAACAGGGTGAGCTATAGGAGTTTGGCCACACTTTTACCTAAAGAAAACTGTCTGGGTATGGTCTGGAGGAAGGAAAAAATGACAACAAAAACAATAAAACAGAAAGGAACTTTCACTCTGCGTTGAGAAATGGAAACTTCTTTTCTCTAAACGTGAAACTTGTTCCTTGATGTTCTAGAGATGAAGAAGGGAAGGACCTGATTTTTTGGGCCACGACATGATTCTAGAATTCAGGCTGTTGATGTTTTTACCTTTGTGTTCCTAGCTGTGAAATAAAGCCAACAAATTTTTCCTGGGGCTCTATAGAAACCCAAATTACTAGATGAAAAGCACAGTTGTGTGCTCAGTAATATTACCATAAGGAAAAAGCATAACCCAGATTCCTGTTTTGAGGATGTGTTGTTCTGTCTATGACACCTGAAGAGTGTCAAACATAAAACTGATCTTTCATTTTAAGCTAAGAACAGTCTTATGTGAAGTGCTGGGTCTTCTTGGCTTCCAGTGTCAGTGTTGTACCCTCAACAAAGCAGAACTGGTTTTCTCTTTGTACTTCGTTTTTGTAGCTCTGATGAGGAACAGCATGATGCTTTTTTTCCTACAGAGTTTTGTTTCTTCTGTAATCCCTCACCTCTGCAGAAATACACCGTTATACAACAATGGCACCCCTTCTGCTCTAACTGAAAGGCAGGCAGCTGCTGGATTCTTCCAAGTACTATGCTTCTTTTGTGTCCCACTAAGCAGTTTTCACAACAAACCCTAATATAAAAACGAGTTATTCCGTATCAATTTTGTGTAGAATTAAAATTGAGTATAATAAAGAGCCTGTCAGAGTAATGCAGTTATTCTTAATGCAGTCTTTCTGGAAGTGTGTCATCGCAGTTAAGTAAAAACACAGTAATTTTTGGGGCAGTGTATGGGTGGTGTTACTTAAATTAGAATTGCTTCCAGCTGCCATACAATCACAGTTCTAACTTTGAGAGTGGGACTTTGCACATAGCTCTGATGATAAATCCAGCCCATTTTGATGGGAATTTTGTGTTGAGGAAATGTGTGTTGGTAAAAAGAAGCCAGGATTAACTTAGCTGTGCTCAGAAGATTGTAATTCTTGAGAGTGATACGCTGTGTCTCGTTTTGACTCCCTGATAACCCCATCCTGTGGAACTGATTAATGGTAGAGTGAAATGCAGTTGTACCTACATTACCTGCTCTTACTGTTTGGCATTATATATGTATCTGCTGTACCTGCTCTTCAGGGGTGTGCATGACAGCACAGCTTCACTTACCTTCCTGATTTCAGCTGGATACATCGAGATCTGCTAACTGCATCCAACTAAGCAGCTTTTGTGAACCATGTGCAACTTGTTCAACCCTGCAGGCAATCCACCTCTTGGCCTTTGGAATCTGCTGGGACTGAGGTGGAGGTGTTGTGCTGAGACCAGTCTGAGAACAGGTCTTTTCCCAGTGCCTGCCTCCTGAGGACTTCATGTTGGTGTAGGAATGAGATGTCTGATGCTGATGGCTTCTCGCTGCATCAATTTGTGGGGAGATCTGAGAACTGAAGACCAGGCTGTTACAAAATGAAGTGAGGGTCTGTGGTGCACCACTTAAATGCTGATGTTCAGAGGAGCCAGTGCAACTTGGTTGGTTGTTCTCTGCTGGGTCTGTGAGTGGAGCAGGCTCATCAAAGCCTCTGGGAAAAAGAAAAGCAAATGCCGGCTAGCCTGAGAGGTCCTCACATCTGGTGTGGTGCTGGAGGAGCAAAGAAACACCATGAGATACATAGCATCCAAAGCCATAAGGCACAGAGCTCTGTGGGCACCACCTGAACCCTTCCTTGCACTGATGTTCTAGCTCAAGGCACTGAGGAGATATGAAATAAAACCACCTGGGGGTTTAGGATGCCTTACAGTGCCAAGGCCCTGCATAGCTCAGTGAGAGCATTTGTGCTGTAATCATAATTCTTCTGTCAATGCAGAATATGAAGCTTCTTTCTCAGCAGAGAGGAAGCGATGCTGTGTATTAATCCTGGTTAATCACGTCTCTTTTTCTCAGAGAAAAAAAATGCAAATGATGCAGCACATGCTTTTTGCAGAAGGAATGCTTTGCACAATGCCAACAGCCTCGCTTTTCTGACTTGGAACACCAGTGCTGCTGACAGGGTTCACACCCAGGGAGAAACGCTTTCAGCACTCACCTCTTCACAGCGCAGAGAAGACGGTTCAGACTTCTCTCTGCCTTTCTGTTAATCATTGCTCTCACTGTCTTTTCTTACTCACTCAAGAGCCCCAAGCCTGCTGCTGGGGGTGCTTTGAAAGGCAAAAGGGAGAGGAAGCAGAAGCACCCACAGGACAGCTGTACGTCTGTCCTGCGATGCCTGTCAGTCCCACCAGGAGGAGACGGGGTGCCCACAGGACCAGCCCAGCCCTTTCTCTCTGTGTTTAATCAAGATAGTGAGCAACAGTGATGAAAACGACGATTTCCTCTGCCTGCCTGCGTGGGCTTTATCAGTGTTTCTTTGAACACCTCGTGGGCCTAAAGCAAACAAAATGTAAAGGATAAAAAGCTAAATGTTTCCCTGCTCTATAGCTTGGTTTAATTCAGTCTGTTCCTCCTCTTCTGTCACTGTTTTCATGCTCTAGCACCTTGCTTTTAGTACAGAACCAACTCTGCTTCTCTACCATCCATGTGTAGCAATGCTATCAGCAAAATCTGAAAGCCTTTATGGGGTGCGTGTGTCTGCAGGTATATGAGAACCTGATGTGGATGTGGGCAGCATCCCCGTTCTGAAGCGGTTTGAAAACTAAACATAATCTGGATCCAAATTTGACAAACAAAGCTGCTACGGACAAAGCTCCATTCCGTTTGTGATGATGTTAGGACAGCAGCTCTCAGGACAGTGAAGGTCACATTGGCTGAACTGAAAAGTGTGTTTGGAAAGTGGGATGCCTGCATGCCAGCTCCAGCAACTGCAGCATGGCCATGGCTGTGTGTGCCCCAAAGCCCAAGGAGCTGCACTGGCTCCTGCTTCCAGGGAACATCTCCTTTTTGCAGCTGCTTCACTGCTGTGCATTGTGGCTGAAGCCACAGTGACAGCCCTGGGTCTTCCTGGCTCTGCTCCTCCTTGTCACCTCTGCTCACTCGGGACTCTGCCTAGCAGCAATCCAGCCTTTTGCAATGAAGTTTCCTCCGTTTTAGTTTCTCAGACATAAATTCAGCACCAGCAACTATATGTGGAAGGAAGTTGGCACTTGGGAAACAAAACGCATAGTTTTCTATTTCCTCTGAGCTTGTTTCCCATAGGTTTAGCTGCAAACTACCAAGCATGCAAGATGAGTCACCTGCTGGGTGCTCTGCTAACTCAGCCACAGCTGAGGAAGTTCTATAGAAGCAGCTCGGACTGTGATGTCAGTCCCATCCCCAAGACACCAAGTTAACACAGTGAGTTCATCTTCACTTGCATTTAAAGAAAGGAGGTCATAAGTGAAATGACTGAGCAAGAATAAAACAGAACAAGGCAATGCCTCTAACCTTACTACTTAGGATTAACTCCAGTGATTAGGAAAGACTCATCACCAGTTGCCCCAGTATTTTACCATCATCCAGACCTGCATCCACTGGATGCCCCAGTTGCAGTGAGGGTTTGTTGCCTGGCAGCTGGGAGGTCCTGGCAGGTGAGATCTCCAGCTTCACTACTAGGAAGTCCAGCTTTTCTACTTCTGAATAAACATTTACATACCTTCAAGCATGGAAACATCTGGTTTAATTCTCCCTTTTTGGATTCCACCTCCAGCCTGGCCGAGGCTCAAGGAGGAACCAAGGAGTCTATGTATTAGTGAGCCTTGACATCAAACTTCTAAACAAGGAAAGGCCAACACATGTTCATAATGCTTTATCTAAGCTACATCTCCTGCTAATGAGGCACCTTATCCAAGACATGTATGTTGCTAATGGTCATATGTATTTGGTTAATGATTGGATGCTGATGATGTATAATGGGTTGTGAGATTCATCCTGAGGTCCACACTGGTTCAAGGCCTACAGTTCAAGCCTTATAACTTCAGCAGCACAAACACTGCTGAATTTCTTAAACTTTGCCTTATTAAATAAATGCGCATCACTTCGTATCGTTCACCTCTGCAAAGCTGTGGGGCTCCTTTCACAAGAACATCAACAGGATGAAGCTCTTTACAATAAGGTCAGAGAGGTGGTGATGCCCCATCCCTGCAGACAGCCAAGGTCAGGCTGGATGGCTCTGAGCACTGCTGGAGCTGTGGGTGTCCCTGTGCACTGCAGGGAGTGGGACCTGATGGCCTTTAAGTGTCCCTTCCCATGAAGATTCTATGGCTTTATGGTCTGGCTGTTTGCAGAGCGCTGCCCCCCGCCCCGCTCTGCACCATTCAGCATCTCCAACATTTGCAGAGCACTCCCCGGTGATCGCTCCGTTATTGCACTGCTGATACACTTAAACCCCTGTTTGCTCTGTGCATACATCAGAGCTATCTGTAACGTCAGAACTGCTACAAAAGGCGGTGAGAGGCACAGCGTTTTCCTTTCACCCCCTTTTATTTCCATAAAATCCAACTCGCTGATGGACCACGTTTGCCTGAAATGCGAAGGAAGCAAAATAAACAGCGGTGCTGTGAGAGCAGCATCATTAAAACCCAATGATGCTTTCCACACAGTCACTTACTTTGACATGTGGACAGATAAGCAAAAAGGTGTCTTCAAACAAGGAGAGCTGTTCCTTGAAACTCACATACAAGTTGATGTTACTGAGCTCCTTCTTTAGGGCAGAAGGTGTCCCATAGGATTCAGTCCCCCTTGCCTGAGTATGTGTTCTCATTGACTTTCAGGATGACTGTCAGCATAAAAGCAAAGGTAAATCTAAGAAAAGGCAGACAGGCCTTCAGAGTTGCTTCCATTTAGGATAATCGTTGGTTTTCTCTTTCAAAAAGAGCCAAAGCCCTCAAATGGAGTTTCTATTGGTGGCTTGCTTCAAATGACTCAGCTGAACGCCTGAGGGGCTTCAACAGATTTCTGTATTAGCTTCATGACAATGCTCTGAAAATGCGTTTCTCCCACCTCCAAAAAAGGGATTCAAAAGACAATGCTAATTAAAACAAAACAAAACAAACAAACAAACAAAAAACAGCTCAAGCCCTACTTTGATCCCCCCTGCAGATCGTTACTTTTCACCATAATCATAATGACCTGCAGGGAAACAATTTAAGATGAAAAGACAAGATATAAAAATGGAAGTCCAGGAGCAGCCTCAAAGCAGAGTAACCCAAGGCAGTGTGACATGAGATCCAACATGAGAGCACATCCTTTAACAGGTGGGATGTACGCAGACATGTCACGCACATGCAAAATCTGAGAAAGGTGCAGCCACTATGGCTGAGGAAAGCCAAACATTCTGCTTTGGTGTTGTTGTTTTTTTGAAAATAAACTTTTTTTTTTTTTCCTGAATTTTCCATTTCCTGGCTTGAATTGTGATGAGCAATTGGGATGTCCCACGGATGGCAATGCTGTCTCTCAGCACATTGCATGTGCCTTCCATAGCTATTCTGTACAGTGAAACTCCTGACTGAGGCATGAAAATGCCATTGTAAATTAAACAAGAATGCATAATGAATAACCAAAATGAAAGAGTGAATCACATGGAGCAATAAAAGGAGATGCAATAAACTGAGACGAAACAAGGGAACAATTTAGCTCATACAGTAGGGTACACAACTGACTTCAGAAGTGCTTGAGCTGGATAATCTGCCCAGTAATTACGTTACTTTACATCTTTGGTAGCTTCCAGCAGGAAACACTGCGCGTACAGCTGGGTGCAGCTCTGTGGGGTCAGCTGAAGGACCTGGCTATCCCTCGCAGCCAGCTCTGTTAGCAGCATCTCTGACATCATGTCCTGTCTCTCCAGACATGAAACTGTCACATCAACCAATTCCATATGACTTCACCCCTGTGCCTGTTCCCCTTAGGGACAAGCAGCACATCAGGGCTGCACATCCTTCTGCCACGCATCCACCTTCACTCCACTGAGGCCACTTTGAGGAGTACACGTTTGTGTTCCGCCTCTTGGTGGCCTTTACAGCCCTCTGTCATCCACTTCAGGGACTCACCCACCCTCTCCTCCTCGCTCTCAGCAGGGTGGAAATCATAGAATCATAGAATCATAGAAAGGTCTGGGTTGAAAAGCACCACAATGCTCATCTCATTCCAACCCCCCGCTAGTTGCCAACCAGCAGACCAGGCTGCCCAGAGCCAAATCCAAGCCTGGCCTTGAATGCCTCCAGGGATAGGGCATCCACAACCTCCTTGGGCAACCTGTTCCAGTGAGGAACAGCTTTCCATTCATTAACACAGCTGGCCAGCTCTGGGTGCCCTGGAGTGCTGGAACACGCAAGAAGAAAAGCGCTGCAAACCCGAGTTGTATTCGTGAATACCTGCAACAGTAACTTCAGGTGATAACAGGAAATTAAAAGAAACTCTGCCTCAGAGCTTAAAATCATGTTGTCCTTTGAGTTTGCTCATTTTTCAGTGATCTCTCCACCTCAGAAGTGCTGGAGCAACTTTTTTCCCCCTTCAGCTCTTGCAAAAGCTTCTCAGTCCGTTCAGGCATTTCCATTCAGAGAGGCAAATTGCTTCTGTGAACACTCTTCGTGCTTTCTGTAAAGAAGATAAGACTCATTTTGACTTTTAACTTCTTCCAAAAAGGAGTTCCTGCAACGGAGCTGTCACCCGGCTCCCTGCCCCAAGTCGTGATGACGGCACTTTGCTTCAGCACGCAAATTAGCACATAGTCATGAGAACCAGCACGGCCGACGGTAAAACCGCACCGTGTCACGGCCATCCCCTCGCCCATCTCCTCTGACCCCCGTGTCCCATTCCGGGTCCCTGCGGCAAAGCTCCCCGCCGCTGCCTGCCCCGCGCTGACCCGACCCGAGCCCGCCGAATGTACCCGAGGGCAAAACCCACTCCTCGGAAGTTTCTGATTTGCAAAACGTAACTAATGGTGAAAACGGCCCCGAGCGCCGTTTAGGGCGGTGTCTCCATCAGAACGAGAGCTGCTACGGGGACAACACGGAGCGCCGACGGCACCGGGACAACGCGCCCAGGGCCCGGCGGGGCGGGACGAGCGGCACCGGGATGGCCGTCGGGGAGCACGTGCGGCGGATAGGGGCAGCGCCGGGGCTGAGCTCCGGGATGGAACCAACCCCGCCTCCCCCCTCCCGGGAGCGCTCCGGGGCGGGGAGGAGGGCGGGGGGGTCCGGACTGCCCGCGGCGGCACCCGCCCCCGCCGGAGGCAGGATGGAGGCACGGGGGGCCGGGGGCGGCCGCAGCCCCGGCCCCGTGAGGAGGCGTCAGGAGCGGGAGCTCAGCTCGCGCCCGGTCCCGGCTCCGTATAAATGGGGGTCGTCGGCGGCGGCGTGTCAGCAGCGCTCGGCCCAGCCGCAGCCGGAGCCGGAGCGCGAAGCCGGGCGGGGGCCGGCCCGCAGCGGAGTGCGGCTCGACGGCGGCGCGGGCAGGGAAGAGGCACCGGCACGATGGGCGGCGGCGGCCCCCGGCGGCCCGGCGCGCTGCCGCTGCTGGCTCTGCTGGCTCTGCTGGCTGCGCAGGGCGGAGCGGCCCCGCTGCAGCCCGGCGGCTCCCCCGCGCTCACCAAGATCTACCCCCGCGGCAGCCACTGGGCTGTGGGTAAGTCTCCGTGCCGCCCCCCGCGCTCCGCTGGCCGCTCCGGGGGCTCCGTGCTGCCCGCGGGCCGCCTGCCGCCGCCGTCGGGTCTCCTGTCTCGCTCCATCGCGGGAGCGCCGGGCGGGCTGTGGCTGCACGGGGAGAGTTCACACATCCGACATCAAAGGATGGGAAGTCTAAACTTTCAGCTTCTCCACCCACAACTTATTTCACCAGTTCTAACCAGGTGCTTCTCCCCAGTTCCCGGCAAAACGCTTGGTTATCTCTCTCTCCGGTTTGGTAGCAACATTCCCGCTGCCAGTGTAGGAAATCAGTTGCGTGTAACACTGACAGCACCTTGAATCCCTGCTGTGCTTCAGTTTGGAAATCTTTCTTCCCTTCCCCTTCTCTTTCTCCTTCCCTTTCCTTTTCCCTCCCTTTTCCCTTTCCCTCCACTCCCCTCTCGTCCCTTCATACCATCACTACTCCTAGCTGATGTTTGAACTCTTAAAGCCACGTTTTGCCTGTTTGGATGAATTTCATGCCACAGTCCTTGTTTTTACAGGACACTTAATGGGGAAAAAGAGCACTGGGGATTTTCCTTATGCTTATGAAGAAGAAAACAAGATCCCATTTTCAGCCTCACCTGAAAATATTAAGCAGCTGGATGACTATCTGCAGCGGGAAGAAATGTCCAAACATCTGCTACAGCTGCTGGAAGGGAATGAAAATAAAAGTGCTCACTTCTCAAAAGGAGGGCTTCCCTGGCACACCAGGAACTCCTGGGAGACAGATGACAGCAGCAGCTGGAAAGATGTAAGTAAGACAAAATGTGTGAACGCATTCCTTACAGTCACCTTTTGTTTTTAAGCGGCATACCATCTCCTTCTGACTTCTGCATTGTCCTGAATGTTATCAGAAGCGTGTCTAATGCAGCAGTCATTCAGCAAAGCAGGATTTTACTCCTGATTAAGAATTGTTAGTCACAATACAGCGTGCTTTGTGAACAATTCAACAAGTGTTCCACAGGTGTCAGTGTCCAGATTCCCTTCCAGCTCCCTGGTTGTTAACATTCTTGCCTTTTCTGGCACTTCTTCATGCTGAGATGACCACATCAGCAGCAAGATTCTGTGTCGAATCAGCAGGGGTGCGTGCAGGGAAGAAGCAAAGAGCATCCTGTATAAAGCTGCCCCACATGGGCTGTGTGTTCTGGTTGCTGTTGCCTGCTCTGGCTTGCAAGGCACCTCATCCTGCAGCAGAGCTGCTCCCAGCTCTGCCTTCAGCACACCCAAATCCCTTCCCCAGGCATCAGTGTGTCTGTCTGATGATGCTGACCACTGCTGTGGTCATGTTTGCTCCCGCAGAATCAATCTCAGCCTACAGGTGAGCTTTAACACGTGCCATCATTAATCCAACCTCTTCTTCCCTTGAGCAATGGTACGTACAAGCACCAGTTGATGAGATGTGGCTTTGGTACTGATTCACCCCTATTCCTTTGGGAAATCCTGTGAAGTGTACTTGGAAGGATGTCGGGGAGGTTTAACAGAAGGTAATCGAGGTCCAAAAGAAGGCTTGCTGTGTACATTGCAGAACTTACAACACGACTCCTTTCTCTGTAAAGCATCAGGTTCCAGGATGGTGATGGAGCTGCACAATTCTTTTGGGCAGCACTGAAATGGTATAGAAAGAGTGACACATGCTTTTAAAGGCATTCATGAGAAGGGTTTTTCTTCCCATCTTCTCCAGCAGTGTATATTCCTGAGGTAACTGCTCTCCCTCCTAAATTCCCAGTGCAATGAAATCATTGCTGCTGACTTGAATAAGGATTTACTCATTAAATTAAGCTGTGATTTAGAGCACTGATGTGAATGCTGCCTGTGCGTTTGTTTCTGGCTGTGGCTTTATGATGGTGATGTTTAAAATGACTGTGATTGATATGGTCTATAAAGGAAAAGCTGTTTGTCTCCTCCTCAGTTCTGCAGTGTGCAGCTCTGTAATCCAGTTAGACAAACTCCATTATGTTATATGGAGAGGGAAATATTTTTACTTCTAAAAGCATTTGGTAATAAATCGTATTTGAATGGCCAGATGTTGCCCTTATTGAATTCTATTCACATCTGTGTGCTTTTGCTCTAAATTAATATCCACTTTTCTTTTTTTTTGGTCAGACATTGAACGTATTTGTGGAATAATAATGGAGTAATAGCAAATACGTGGAATAACATTGCCTTAAATCTCCAGAATTATCAAATGAGGGGGAAAATAAATCACGTCTCCCATGCAACCATGATATGTGACAGGCAGCAGAGCCTCATTTTGCCATAGAAACTTTAATTTCCAGTGTGCAAAGTTATTTTGTCTCTCTTCTGCATCATGAAAGAGATGCCTACCCCCTGCTCTCCTCTTGCTGAACACAAACACCTGATTGCATGCAGCCTAGGGAGGACAGAATACACTGTTTTTCCATTAGCTTCCAAAAGCAAAACCCCAGCACTCAACAATTAAACCATCTTTCTGCTGAGGTCTGCCTTCCAGGTGCAGAAGGTCTGAAGACCAAACGTGCTTTGATGTAGGAGGGCTGTGTGCTCAGATGCTGTGCTGGGGGATGTGGTGTAGTGGGAAATGTTGGCAGTAGGTGGGTGCTGGACTGGATGGTCTCAAAGGTTTTTTGCAGGCTTGGTGAGTTTGTGATCCTTTCCTAAATGTTTAAATGATGATTGCTGTTATTTTTCTTTTCTGACGAGGCAATGCTTATTTGTAGAGGTGAATTCTGGTGTATAGGAAATTCAGCCATATGTGTACACAGTGACATGAGAGCATACATGATTTCTGGATTTCTATTCTGTAGATATTTTGTTGATACCTAAATACGTGTATTCTTGTATACCCTCTGGGTATGAGGGGTTCCATTTTGCACACACTTGGCCCACACACTTGCTGTTAATGTTCAGTGGAGGTGCCTGTGTATGGGGATGGTGGCTGGGAATCAGGTGGCTGAGTAAACTGATGGTGATGGGGTAGTGGCTATGGCATGTTTGCAATTGGCCCTCAGTGGTTTTGTGCTTTTCCAGCCATAATGTGTTTGAAACAGAAACTGACTGTGAGAGAAAGCAGACCCCGTGTTTGGTTCACTGTCCATTGGGTGGAGGTATTGAAGTGTGAGCAAGAGTGATTTGTGAGCTCTGCTGTGCAGCGATGAAATACCTTCCCTGGGACCAAATAGTGACCTGGGCAGCTGCAGGCAGGGAGATCTGCTGTGGTGCTGAGCACAGGGAGCTGCTGCATCCGTCCACCGAGCATCACTGAAGGCAGGCACTGTTGGGAAGGGCTCTGTTCCATGGAATCTGTCAAATTTTACCAGTTTTGCAGTTTTTGAATTTAAAATCATAGATTGGAAGTTACTGCCCCTGAAGTCAAAAGCTGCAGCAGGAAATTCAGGTCTGCCCTTCAGGTAACTCGACTCAGAGCCTTGGGTACAAGCTCCAATTTGCTCTGAGCATTATTCACCATCAGTGCTCATGCTGTGCCGTTCAGTTCTCAAGAACAATAATAATAATAATAAAAATCATTTCTGAAAGACCAAAACACATTGGGATGAGTATCAAAACAGACAGTCAAAATGAGAGAGAACTGAACATCACAGTGCTGGGAATTCAGCTGTGGGTGGAGTGCCCGAGTTCCGTCCTTCTGTCTTAAGGCAGCAATGGTCTAAAGGAAGACTTTGCCTGCTCTTTATTCCACGAGTAAATTGCAGATGAAGTGTTTAAAGATCAGAAAGGAAATCTGTCCTGCAAGCGGGCCTTGGTGTAAGTCGGAAGATAAGCTCTAAACTGTTCCTGTGTCTTGGCTTTTTAACAGTAATGAGGCATTATATCAACGAGATGGCAGACAATTCTCTGGGAAATGACTTTCCTCTTACTTTGCTGATTGGTTATTAAGCTGATCAAGACAAATGATGTCTTTTCGTGTTTGTTATGTGAGCACACAAGGCAGCTGTGTATGAGGCTGATGAGCTTAGGGAGTGACTTCTGCCAGGCTGCACTATAAATGCTATTTTTTCTCTTTTTATTAGATGATGGAGAATCTGCTTCAAGCTGTGAACATGAAGGAGAGCACTCCGAGCTGAAAGAAAGTCTCTAAACCCGAAGAACTGGAACACTTTCCATAAGAGACTATGTTTCACAAGCACTTGATTGTAATCAGCTAATCAGCAAGGTTTCTTTTCTGTAAACAAGATTTCCGTTGTGTAAGATACCTAAATACACGTATTCTCGTATGTTTCGGCAATGACCACGCTCCCTACTTCATTTCCGAGGCTGCCATTTCTCCCTCGAGCGGCTGTGACAGGCGCAATGCTCACGGAAGGGTCTTGCAATGAGTGACACCTGCCCGGTCCGCTCGGACACCGCGCGGCGTCCCGGCGCTGCAGCAGATGGCGCTGATGGAAAGAGCCGCGGCTGCTCTCCCGCTGTGCCCGGTGCGGCCGCCAGGGGGCGCCGCAGCACCGCGGATACGGGGCGGAGCGGAGCGGGGCGGTGGGAGACGCGGGGCGGTGCGGAGAATCCGCCTGTTTTCCCAGCTCTGCCTACACTCTGCCCACTGGCAGTGCCGGCAGAAGGGGTTAGTACTTAAGTGACTTGAGTTCCTCTGCCCCGGTGGTGCGCTGGTTAGTCCTTCCCGCCCTCCCCCCCCCAGCTTTTCCCTCCTGGAGGACGGGGTTCTCTGCCCCTTTTAGGATCGTGGGATTCTAACAGTTGGAAGGGACCATCAGGTCCCACTGCCTGCAGTTCACAGGGGCACCCACAGCTCTATCAGGTGCTCAGTGACCCATCCAGCATGATCTTGGCACGGGGCACCACCACCTCTCTGGGCACTCAGGTTCCTCCCCACCCTCAGTGTGAAAGACTTTCTGTATTCCAACCTAAATCTCCCCTCTTTAAGCCTGAAGCCACTTCCCCTTGTTCTATCACCACAGACCCTGCTAAAGTGTCTGTCCCCTTCTTTCCTGCAGCTCCTCTTTAGATACTGACAGGCTGCTCTCAGTTCTCCCTGGAGCCTTCTCTTCTCCATGCTGCACAGCCCCAGTCCTCAGCCTGTCCTCATATGAGAGGTGTTTTCCATCCCTGGGACCATTTTTGTGGCCCTCCTCTGGATGTGCTCTGTCAGGTCCACGTCTCTCCTGCACTGATGCATCTGGATGCAGCACTCCAGCTCAGAGCAGAGGGGCAGATCTCCCCCTCGCCCTGCTGGCCACGCTGCTTTGGATGCAGCCCAGGATACGGTTGGCTTTCTAGGCTGCGATGGGACACTGCTGGCTCATGTCCAGCTGCCATCCAGCAGTGCCTCACGTCCTTTTTGGCAGGGCTGTGCTCCATCCTTACATCCCCCAGCTTGTACTGATGGTGCACTCCTTGCATTTGGCTTTGTAGAACCTCATGCAGTTCTCATGGGCGCGCTGCTCAGCCTGTCCCAGGTCTTTCTGGATGGCATCCTGTCCCTTGGGCCTGCCAAATGCACCACGTAGCTTGGTGTCATCCACAAACTGCTGAGGATTTGCTCCATCCCTCTGTTAACTTTCCAGTGTTTTCTAATGTGTCAGCTGGCTTATGTTTCATACAAGCACTTCCTTTCTGACCTTTTCATTTCCAAATCATGTTTCTGAGACATTTTGGTGAATTATGTAGAAGGTAACTGTGTATAGGGACACATGTTCGTTCTTGCTGTATTTTCATTTAGGTGAAGTGATAATGTATAACTATTGCCTGACTTATTTGTGTGATTGTTACCTTCCTCCCCCCACTTTTTTTTTTTTTTTTTCTTTGAGAATCATTCAGATTAAATGATTTGTGCTTAGTGTGTGAAATTGTAAGGGACTTTTAATATTTCATATCCTGTTCTTAGAACCAACTCGTGCAAAAACATTTCTATCTTTTCATTCTATTGTCACTGGTTTTGCTACACTCTTTAGGTGTAGCACATCTAATATGAAAGCTCAGCTGCTTTACATCAACCTGAGGATAAAATGCAGTGGAAGAGGTAACGTGGGAACTAAGGGACGTGGTTTAGTGGGCATGGTGGGGATGGGCTGACAGTTGATGATCTTTGAGGTCTTTTCCAACTTTTTAATGAGTTGATGATTCTAAACAAATCCAAGGTGTTGTGCTTTGGCCCATCCAAAAAACATTTTGGCAATGCAGTGCTGGAACCACTGGGTCCTTATGGCAGCTGAAACAGGCCACACTGGGAGACAGCTATGATCAAACTCCTGAGAGAGCTTCTCTCCATGTGGTTTATTAAGAACCATTGTCTTTTCACTTATAAACCATATTTTTACATTTGGAGAAGATGAGTCATTTATCACATCAAAACTACTCCAAACTGAAAAAATGTGTGTGTTTGTTATTTTATTTTTCATAAGGAAGCTGTACAAATGGCAGAGGAGCAGCAAGGGAATAGGCAGGACTTGCTCACCCTGTGCTAGTTGACAGCCTGGAGTAGCAAAGGGAAAGGCATTCCAGATTTATTTCTTTTTGAAGCTTGGTTGGTGCTGACAAAGGGCTGTAGTCCTTTTTTAATGGGATCTTAATGCCTCTATAGATGGCAAATCTAATGCCACAATCAGGAAAGCAGCAATCTCTTCATATAATAAGATTTTTGATAGCTGACATAAAGGATACATCAGGAGGAAAGAAATCTTATCTGGGCTCTCTTCAGTCTGCTCCTTCAGCTTTCCTAAAGCTCTTTGGGAACACTATTTGTGAGGCTGTGCTTTTTCACTCTTAGCAAAACGCTTCTTTTGATAGTGCCTTGATGGAATTGCAGTAAGGTCTGGGCAGGGTCTCATAAAGGTTAAAGCTGGGCACAGTATACACCAGTGAATGATAACCTCCTGTGGTGTTACATGGTATGATTTAGCGTCCATAATACAATTTGCAAGAGCAATTAACTCATACATCACAACCAAATTATGTAGAATGGTTCAGATGAAGGAATGTACTCTGAAAGTGGCATGGAAAGAGTTCTTTTTTGGTGGGAGAGATTGCAGGATTAATAGGAGATGTGAGAGAAGTTCTGCTGAACTCAGTTTTATGGCTAAATAGGATGTGTCTCTGTTTCTGATTGTTTTAATCATGCTAGGTAAAAAGGAAGTATATGAGAAATCTACACTGTGGAGAACGTTTATAAATGAAAGGTTTGTATTACAGGAAGTCAGAAAATAGTTTATCTTTGCTTTATCTGCATTTTGTAGTGCTACATTGCAACAGAAGATGATTTTATTTTTTCCTAATGTAGGGTTGTTATCTAAGAAAACCACTGACTTCTATGGGTGTTTGGCTGTTATTTTTTCAGCTGGAGTAACCACGGAAGCCATTCAAACTGCTACTGCAAGCCCAGATTCATTGGGAACAGAGGCAAAAGTTCAGGAGGAAGAGCATGATCTAGTGGATGACGACATCACAGCTGGTGAGCTTAATGAAATGGATTTCTTTCTTTTTTTCTTTTTTTTTAACTTACTGAGTACAATGCAAAAGAGAAGGAACACTTTCTGACTTTTCATACTTCTTGTGTGAAAATGAAACATATGCTTAACTCTAACTACTGTCATTTTACTGCGTTGCTTCTGAAACAAATATTTTTCAGTGTGTTTTGAGTTTTCTAGTCTGCCTGCAGCTGACATATTTAGCTCTTCGGTTTGATTCTTTACAGTTACTTCTTAAACGATTTACCATGGTGAAAAGCCTGATGGCAGGGGTGCTGCCATCATAATACACTTCACTGAACTGTATTTTTTTCAGTGAGTAAATGCTGTTAGTTTGTCATACATGGAGTTCAAGTATGTTTTGGTTCTAAAAGACTAATATAGCTTTTTACCGTTGCTGTATGTTTCCGTAGACTGGTGGATGGATGGTTGAGAATTCTGGCCCCTCAAGGCATGTTCTGAAATGACAGACCATACAAAAACAAACATTTAATTACAACTGTTATCTTTTGATTCTTTTGTTCATGCTTGTCTGTACATCATCGTGGGGAAAATACTTGTATGCTCAGTATCAGTACCCTCAGAATTTGAATGACTACAGTATGTATTTTAGCATAGCATACCACAGATTACAGATCACAAAAGCTATGCTGTTTTGTCAGCTCAGACTATGTTGTCTGAGCTTTTTATAGATTTTTGTGAAAGTCGGAAAGAAAACTATTTATTCCTATTGACCAGAAGACTGTTAGTATGCCAGATGGAGTTTTGGGTCAAGTCTCTGGTTGAAGGTGACTGAGACAAGATTCCTGCTGGTTGAAGAGTAGACTGTTTGGAGCACAGAGTATTAATACAGGCTGTTTGGAAAAGACTTGAAAGATTTACAGGGGAGGAAGAGTGCTAGAGATGCCTGTAAGATCTGGGGGAATATGTGGGAACTGTCAAAAACAGCAATGGATAGAAGCTGAAAAAATGGAAATAGAGAACGGAAATTAGTGAAAGGGCTTAGAGTACTCTGAAATGCTTTTCACAGCATATCCATTACATTGTGTTTCTCAGAGAAACGTAGAATCTACTTGGTCCCACATCTTTTGGAGGCCAACTGGTTCCTCTTCTGGAAGCCTTGGTAACAGCAGCATTACCAACAGGCATGAGTTGTATCATTCCCTCATTCCCCTTTGCCCTATGTATTTTTCAGGGGAAAGGTGGAAAATGGGCCACTTTATTGGAGGCAGTTCTGAATGATGTGCATTTTCTTGCTCCCTGCTATTCCTGATCAAAGCAATTGAGCTTTAAAAGCTGTGTTCTGAGTAAACACAAAATTTCAATCTACAATTGAATGCAATCAGTTTAGTGTTTGTAAAAAATTAATTCAAACATTTTGAAGCTTACCTTGTCATCTTTAAACATGATGCAGCTTCTTTCTATAGTGGTCCTTTTAGAGCTAATACTTATTGATTGACTGCACAAAGTAATACCAGTGTGCAGTGGTCAACAGGATTTTTTTCCAATTCAAATTGGTATTCACCAAATGCTCTCATTCCTTCAAATAATTTTTTAAAAGGATCACTTCCACATTGGTCCTTTTAGAGATTAAAGCAGTTTAGCTTAGCTTGCTGAAAAGCGCTGAAGCCTATTTCTGGGAAACAGCACCACAGTGCCTGTCAGGCATTTTACAACACATGGGCAGGAGTTATATGGGAAACTGGGTCTATCTTCAGATGTACTGAAAAGACACGCAAGAGCAGGCTTCCAAAGCTGTAATAGTAGCTACTGTTATCTTTAATGCCTACAAGGCTTTTCTGGATAACTAAACCTAGAGCAAATATCTTGCTTAAATGATTCACTTTAGAACAGTAGGGTTTTTTTGTTTTGTTTTTGTTTTTTGCTACTTGGGCAGAGAATCTTCTGATTTCATTGACTGAACTTCTTCAAAATATATTTTGTATTTAATATCTTTTATTGCTTTGTAATTTTAATCTTACTTGCTAACTTAATTTTAGGCTCTAAGATATCATCCAGCTTTTTTTTTTTTAGAAGTATAAGTCTGTTTTTAAATCGGTAAGTGAAGGAAATAAGGAAGAATAAACATAGTGTTGTTACGTGTTTGGAAATGTGACTGTCTGCATTTAAGGTGTGCTTGGAACATACAGAGCAGCATCTACAGGGATAATAAAACAAACGCACTGCTGAGCACGTAACAAAGATAAAGGGTCAGATGTCACCAGTGCTGTGAAAAAGGCAGTGTTGTAGCGCCTCAGTACCTCTGCTGACAGATTTATTTACTAGCATAGAAAATGGTGTAACAGTGCAGATAGACTCTTTAGGAATTCAATGAGTTTCTCATGTTCAAATGAAGGCCTTCAAGGAAGTAACTTTTAGGTTGCAGAAGTGTGTGCCTTTGAGCTGTGCAGTGTTGCCTTAGTACTGGACATAAATAATGTATTGGGCCACGGTAAGACACATATTCTAAATCTTGTATGGGTTGCTCTTGCACTTAATCAGCAGTACTTCCCCAGGCCCCTGGATATGGGGCTGGGCACAGCTCTAGGGGCCTTGCTGGGGCAGGGGGGAACTTGAGGACCCTTCCCATCTCAGCCAGGCTATGACTTCTGGAATGAGTGGGAGCTTTGGCGTTGCAAAATGGGGAATTTTTCCACAGCAGTTTCTTTTTGTAGCAATGACTTTGCTCGCATTAGCATTGACAGTGATGCTTGCAAAGCACAAACCCTTTCCTGGTACTAATTAAATATTAATTTGTTAAACATTTTTCCCCTCTTTCATAAAGTCTAGATATCATGTACCGTCACCACAGCTGCAAAGATTACAGAAGTACTGACTGCCTTGGTTTTGTAGCTAAAGGCTTGCAGAAATACAGTGGTGCATTACATTTGTGACTGGGCTGGGCTTCACACAGCAGCAAGCTAAGCAGTGCTTAGTGAACTTTGAGGCTTCTGGTAGCAATTTGAATGTAATGCTGGGAGATTCCATTGAGCTGAATACAAGGTACACTGCTTCTGGGGGAAGGGGCTTAGGTGGCTAGAGACTGTCACACAATTGCAGGGGCTGGGGGGGATAATCTGCTAAAGTAGGTTTCCTACAGTAGGAAAAAGATTTTGTGCCCTCTAATTGAGTCGATTACACAAACTGGTGGATATTTTATGCTTTATTTCTAGGAACTATTCAAAACAAGCTATAGATGTTAGGGAAGCTCAGGGTAAAGGCTTCTGAGACAACTCTTATAGCTGCTACAGGGTGACAATGACAACAACACTGATAGTTGCCCTCAGCTGCCTTGTTGTGAAAGGGTGAGATTCCAACAGGAGGCCTGATGATTGACAAAGCTGGGTAAACTCTCGTCAGACCCATTATTCTGGGTTGGTATTCCAAGGCCAGATTGGATGGGGTCCTGGGCAGCCTGGTCTAGTAATAAATGGGATTGTTGGTGGCTCTGCATGGGGCAGGGGGTTTGGAGATGCATGATCTTTGAGGTCTGTTCCAACCCGGGCCATTCTGTTATTCCAAAGGATTTGATATTCAAAAAGCTGGAAGGTAGAGGATGGAGACTGCTTTAAGTTCAGAAATAAGAATTATTATTTGTCTAAGAAAGTTTTAGAAAAAAAAATCTAAATTTATGAAAATATGCGTACCCTGGTCCAGTAAAGGTTGTCTTGGTGCCTTCAAGTCTGAAGCAAGCTTCTGTGTTAGACCTATGCATCCTTAGCTCTGGGCTCTGCAGAGGATCTAGCAGTTGTCCTTCCAAGGGCAGAGCAGTGAGCACTGCTTTTTGGGGGCTCCTTTTTGCAGAAGCGCTGTGTGTGATGCACTGTTTCTTCCTACCTGCTGTTGTGATGTGATAGTAAGTCCTAAGGCAGTACAGAAGAGCTCTGAGCGTACTCCTTGTTTAGCCACGTGGCCAAAGGAGCCCCAGCCAAGAATGCTTGGTGCATCTTGTGCAGGTTGTAATGTCTGGTATACCAGCAGAACTGCAGCAGTGACAGCAGTTCACACACAGAAGGTTATATGGAAAAAAAAAGCTAGGAGTGTTACTGATAATGTTTGTTAACTTGAAAGCTTAATCTTTTGAATAATTTCCTGTAATATTAGGAAACCTATTTTGTTGTGTAATGAGTAGTATTTTTTAGGCAATAATTATCCATTAACTGGTGACATCAGAAGCACGGATTATTGTTAGTTTATTTCATATTTTAAAACTAAGAATGACTCTGAAGGCACCAACAGTATTTGTCTATGTTATTTTGAAGGTTCAGCAATTTGCAGTCATGGTTTTTGTATTGTCTTAGCACAACATTTGCAGAAATGTTGAATTTCCACCATATTTTGAGTAGTAATTATTTTACCCCTAGATGTTCTGATGTTGGTACAATCAAACTATTTTAAGCAGTTTTAATTTAGTTCCTAGTTGATATATTATTTTTTGCTATTACACTTTTTAGCTCAAAGGCTTCTATTGTAACAGAAGAAAAATATTTCATTTGCTTACCAGAAGTAGTGCGTGGTAACTTATTAAACCATATGCTGTGCTTCTATTTTGCTTTTTTGCTCCCTTCTTACTCTTGTTAATATATTGAGTCTCTGGACTGCTTTGGTGGTTTCTGTGCATTCTCTTGTGCTGTTGGAGCCAGACGTGGAAGCAGAAGCGACAGGTGCCGTTGCCCAGTGCTGCCCTCCCCTCCTCTTGCAGCCTTCTCTCTAAGGTTTGCTGTGAGGTGGAGGTGCACAACAAACGACACCATCTGCCATCCCCAGCAGCCAAGCCAGCAGCCCACTGTTCAGCACAATGTGGGTGCCAAAAGAGTCAATCTCTGGACGAAATTCCTGCTGGGTTTCTTTCAAGCAGCACAGACCAAACTTGAACACCTTCACCGCGTCACATACATTTGTGTATCTCTAAGGTCCAGCATAGAGAGATAAAAGATGCACTTAATTTGTATTTAATAACCCATTAGAAAACCATCTACCACAT